CATTGTGGGGTTGGACAGGGCAGGGCTAGGCCCAGAAGGTGGGGTTATAAGGGGGACACCCACGGGCGATCTTGTCGGTGCTGTGGAAGTGTTCCAGGGTCTCCTTGATGTGGCAGTGGATGCATGAACTTATAGCAAACACATGTACCAGCAGCGGACACCCGCTCAAGAGGTAAACTGGAGATATGGTGAAGTAAGGAGTGTTGGTTTGGGTGTCAATGCTAGTTCCCGGTAGGTGTATATGAGTGCTAGTTGGTGTTGTAAGGTTAGCACTGGGGAGAACTGGTGGCGACTTTGTAGAGAGTGCTTGGTGTTATTCTTAACTAGCGGAGCATCCTACGATGTAGCTCCTAACATGGTATTAAAAAAAAAAACCTAGGGTATGCACCAGAAGGTGGAGTGATGGGGACAACGATGCCCCATCGATGGCCGCCGCTCTCTGGCACTGCGCAGCGGTCCCGCTTTTCTCCAGTGCTACGTTGGCTCAAGAGGCACGGGTATGTAGGCGAAACGTAACAGGACTGAGATCGGTAGATAATCGCGTAAACCTAGTGCTATGTATGGGAAGAGGATGCAATATAGTTACTTGCTTCCGCGAAGTATGTGCCCGGGTGAGAATGATCATTAGTCCTTCCGCGTCATCTCTCCACTTTCCACCTACTGCTGGACCAGTGGTGGAGCATGATCTATGCTGGCAGCAAGTTATTTTTTGCGTCTGTATAGGAGCGCGAGCCTGACAGAGCAGAGGCGTGCAGCAGCTTGGGGAGGAACAAAGTATCTGAGCAGGTGAAACACTGTACAATGATTTCTCTGAGGTCAGAGCGACAGAGAGAGGGGAGAGGGAAAGGGCAGAGGGAAGCGATCGTCTGTAGAGTAGAGGAGGAAGAGTAGTTGTTCTGGGATTTTGGAGGTCGCACCAGGGATGAGCGTGTTACAAGGTGTTCCCAGGGGAGAGGCTGGGACTGGTGAATCCAGCTACTCTGGAGGCTGAGCGCTGCGGGAGATTCCTGGGGATCGCAGGAGTTGACGTCGCATCCTGGCACCATAGTGAGACCCCCCGCTATGCTGCTAAAATTAACGATATAGTATTAGATTCGCAGTTCGCGCGAGGGGAGTGGAGAGTGGTTAGGTGTAGGAGTGGGACTGAGAACAGCGCTGAAGGTATCACTGGGTGTGTGCACAGCCGTGGGCTAGGTGGGGTGAGCTGGATTCCTTGTGAACCCTACGTGCTCTGCGCGCAGGAACCCTGTGTTGAGCTCGTGCGCCTTTAGGCGCGCACATAAGGATCCCTTGGTCGTTCAGGTGTCTTGGGTCTGTTGTGGCGATAGAGGATCGCCGAGTTTCGTGCATAATGGAAGGACCCTATTTAAATTGTGAGCTGCGTGACTTAAACAAGGAAAGAGGTGAGATTTCGGTTTCGTCGCAGAAAGGCAGAAAGGAGGGGAGGCCGCTCTTTGGGTTGTAGTAGAGCTGATATGTGTTGTGTAGGGGAGCAGAAAGGATGACGGGACGGGCAGAAGATAATGATTTTAGACCCCGGTGGCGAACTTTAACAACGTCGGCTCAGGCAGTAAATAGAAACATAGTTCGAGCGAGGGCGAGAGGGGACAGGAGGCAAGGAGCAGTCCATAAAGGCGCACACGAAGGTGGATAGGCTGGGTTGTGATCAAGCGTGAGATGACACATACTAGAATTACTATGTAGATTGTATTAGTATAATTATTCTTATACACTTTTGGGCTAGTTTCAGTAACTTTATGCTTGTGATGTGCGGGGGCATGGAGCACAGTCTGTGCGAAATTGGTTTGTGTTTGTTACGCTGTGGTGCTTCGCTCGCATAAGAATTACTTCCGCTTGGCGCTTTACCACCCAATGCAGGCCCTGGCTCCCTGTGAGGGTTCCGTCGAGAGCGAAGCCTAGGGTAGCAGGATGTTGTAGCAGAAGGTAGGAGTATCTGTGTCTGTATTGGTCATAAGGATATGCATAGATATGTTTGGGTTGTGTTGGGCGTTGTATAGTATCTTTTGTGGAGATGCCAATAAGTGTTGTGGCATATATGGATAAAGAAGTAAGTAAGGAGAGCAAACGCGTCATTACAGTCATTAGGAAGGAGAAGGGCAGCCAGCATGTGTAATGTGTTCAGCTTCTCCCTGTGCAAGCAGGGGAGATGAGCTTGAACTGAGACACATGCAGCCCTCCTGCAGTGGGCCTTCTCTGCTGAAGGCTTCCCAGGTTGGAGCTGGGGAGAGTTTCAGTTGTCCTAGTTAAAACCATTTATTTTTCCATCATTTATAAATGTTTTAATTTCAAAAATGTTATATACATGAATTCATGCAATAGGTAACCTTTGGGTATTGGCTTTTTCCATTCTATATGATTCCTGGATTTTCATCCAAGTTGCTGTACCAGTAATCCATTCATTTTTATTGCTGAGTAGTATCCATGGTACAGATGTACCAGTTTGTTTATTTGCCTGTTGAGAAACACCTGGGCTGATTCCAGTTTTGGGCTATTACAAATAAAGCTACTGTGCACAATCATGTAGAGGTTTTTGTGTGAGCATAAGTTTTAATTTCTCTGAAATAAATGTCCCAGAATGCAACTGCCCATGTTTTGGCTTTCCATTTCTTTCTCTTTCTCCTCCTACTGCCTCTCCCAGGGCAAGAGACAGAAATACTCATGGTTAAAAGGCACCCATCAGCCAGACAGGAAGAAAGTGCTTAATTGTGAGAGGCCTCTCAAGGATTGATAGAAGTATCAGCTTGAACATAGATGGTGCCTGCAACTGTACCCAGAGTAGCAGCATTCTCCTTCCAAATCCCCTCTCCTCCAACCCTGGAGTCTCCACATTTGTTGAAAATGCAATCTCCTGGGCCTTGCTCGAATTTCGAAACTTGTCTGATGGTGGAAATTCAGGGAAGGAGGAGGAGAATGTTCTGGAAGCAACATTCGGTCTGAAAGTTGGAGGTCCTGAGCTGAAGTCTTGATCGTCCACTGCCTTTCCCTGGATAAGTTACTTCCCCTCACAACCTCCATTTTTTTTTTTTTTTTTTTTTTGTCTTTGAATTTATCTGGATGATCCCTAAGCTCTCTTTTAACTCTCACATTGTTCTTAAGGCCATTGAAGAGGATGAAGCTGACCAGTCTACTCAAGGATTGAGCCCATTACAGTGGCTGTATAAGCATGGCCTTCCAGCCATCTACATAGGATCTTCTTCCTTCCTCAGCCATCATAAACGTTGCTTGAGCACCTGTTCGGTGTGAAGCCCTGTGTTGGGTGTTAAGAGATAAAAATATGCATAAGCCACATGCCCCAGGCCCCAAGAGCTCAAAACCAGGCTATAGAGCCCCACCCAATTTCATATGCTGGGTATGGTTCTGTAAATCCATTGCAAACCTTTTTATCCTGTGTGGGAAGTGATTAAATGATCTAGTACATTTGGTATGACAATCTGTTGCTTTAATAGAGCCCAGGGTAAGATATGATTAAAAGAAGTGCCACAAAGAAGAACAGGAGAATCTTTCATCTCTAGAAACTAATGAAGACGGACCCCAGATACAAGAAAGGTCTGGCTCCAAGTGGTGCAATCAAATTATATAAGACTATAATAAGCTTGACACAATTGGATTTCCATATGAAACTCTCAACACCCAGCACTCACCCAAAGCAAATGCAGCCACATCCTCAAATGATGAGGAACTTGCTTGAACGTAAACATCTAGCCAAGTGTAGGGCTTAAGCAGGATTCCCACAGAGTAGAACTGTCCTGACCCCCAATCAATGTTCTCTGCTTGTAGAGAGGAGGCATGATAGCACTGATTTGCCATCATCCTTTCTCTCCCAGGTTCCCCTTTTTATTCTCTCCTTCATCAAGAGGAGCAGTCTTCCTCAGACTTAAGGGAAGATCTTTCAGGCTCAAGTCCTGGCCCCTTCCCCATATTTAGAAGCCTGGGAAGGGAGTTGAATTGTTTCTGCAACGAGATACTTCCCACAAAGCAAGAGATATACGTCCTTTGTGCTTCTGTTGACCACCTGAACCCCTGAGTCAGTGGCCTCCTTTTAGCAGATGAACCAGCCCAGCAGGACACTTGGGGAGAGGGTGAGAAGAAGTGGAAATTGCCACAATTTCCTTAGGACTCTTTTCCTGCGTAGAGTCCATGCTGAAGTTGCCTGTGGACTTGCTCAGAGCCAGAAGGAGGGACCCTTCTACTCCAGGATGGGTCTGCTATCCTTGTGGGCTGTTCTGCTTCCAGTAGCAAGAGCCTGGGGCTGTAAATAGTTATACAGAGCCCAAACCTCAAGTTGCATTTTTTTTAACCAGCAAGAAACCTCTACCCAGTCCCTTCTCCCTCTCTCAGTCTCATTCCTTAGTCCTCTGTCTTTGGTTGTGCTACTGTCATGGTGACAATGATTACAGTCATTAGGAAGGAGAAGGGCAGCCAGCATGTGTAATGTGTTCAGCTTCTCCCTGTGCAAGCAGGGGAGATGAGCTTGAACTGAGACACCATGCAGCCCTCCTGCAGTGGGCCTTCTCTGCTGAAGGCTTCCCAGGTTGGAGCTGGGGAGAGTTTCAGTTGTCCTAGTTAAAGCCAAGTAGTGTATGGAAATGTGTCCCATCCTCCCTTCTTAGGCACAGCCAGTCAACTGTCACATGTACCTATACTCATTCCCACTGTCATGTGCAGCAAAACAAACATATGTTAACATATACATGCAGCCGGGCACGGTGGCTCACACCTGTAATCCCAGCACTTTGGGAGGCCAAGGCAGGTGGTTCACCTGAGGTCAAGAGTTTGAGATCAGCCTGGCCAACCTGATGAAACCCCGTCTCTACTAAAAATACAAAAATTAGCTGGGTGTGTTGGTGGGCACCTGTAATCCCAGCTACTCAGGAGGCTGAGGCAAGAGAATTGTTTGAACCCAGACGCAGAGGTTGCAGTGAGCCGAGATTGCGCCACTGCACACCAGCCTGGGTGACAGCGGGACTCCATCTCAAAAGAAAAAAAAAAAAAACACAAAAAAACAAAAAATATATATATACATGCATGAGTCCACTCCCGAAGACAGAAATACAATTGTAAATGTGCTTATTAACTTTAAAAATCGAGAACTTACTGTTTACTGGGGGTACATCAGTAAACAAGGCAAAAACTCCTGCCCTCAAGGAGTTTATATTTTAGTGGGAGAGAAAGTATCAAGATAAATATATAAAACATATCTTTCCTTAGTAATAAGTGCTAAGAAAAAAATTGCAGAGGAGTTAAGAAGCATTGAAGAGCACATAGGCACCCTCCTTGCTTTTCTCATAATTAACTCATATTTGGGGACCTACTATATACAGAAAACTGTACTGGACCCTAGAGGAGAATCAGGGCAGCTATCACATACACTCCTCTAAGGAGTTTGCAGTCTAGAGATAAGAAAACTGAGTAGCACAACTGAATAGCACACGGCATTTTGCAATACTGAGTAGATAAAGGTCATGAAACCTTTGGGAGAATACAGCTTGGATGAGTGATATTTCTCCTGCCAGGATAATACCCGGGCTGGAGAGATGAGTGGAGACTCCTGAGAATTCTGACCCGACCAAGCTATACAAAGTGGGTACACAACGTCTCAGACCCAATCCCTGGGTCTATAACTGGAGATGCATGAGGTTGGAGAGAAACAGCCTCATCCCCTTCATCAGGTGTTACCTGGGAAGCCAGCCTCACAGTGTCACCAGGCTTGCTGTCTTTTTGTATCATGGTCTCCCTCATTCTTTTATTATCTCTGCCAATCACAGAAGGCCCGCCTTGCCAGGATCCGTGTGGCCAAAACAGGCAGTTCGAATGCATACCTGCACAGCAAGCGTAACGGGCTCCTCAACGAGGCACTGGAGCTGACGGTAGGTACCTAGAGGACCTGGGCTGGGGAACATAAAGGGGCAGATGGGCTTATTTTCTCTTTCCCGGGACACCAGCACTCCCATCCCAGAGCCCTAGTATGAACCCCAAGGAGGACATGTTTCCAAACTTTCCCCAGGTGACAGCCCCCCATTCACACACCACTCCTATAGGATTATCACCACTACCTCTAAACCAGGTTTAGACCAAGGGCCTCTGAGCCCAAAGGCTAGCATATTCAATGCTGACCCTGAAATTTGGTCAAATAAAAAACTTTGATTATTCTATTGCCCTTTGACCTTTAGTAGAGAAATGAAGGAGCTGGAAAGGGGAAGAACCACCAACTTTTTACTCAATCTCTCTTCTTTTTTTACTAGGGCACCCCAGAAGAGGAGCACATGGGCAAGACCACCTCACTCATCGAGAGCCAGCATCATCACCTGCTGCACTGCCTGGAAAAAACCACTGTGAGTCCCAGCCCATTGCCGCCTCCTTTTCAGCACTGACCCTGACCCTTTTCTAAGGCTGTACTCACATCTTCACTCTGGGCCAGATGTCAAAGTCTGTCCCCTTCAGATCCAACAGGTAGTGATGGGATCTATTGGCCCTCAGGTGGAAGACCTTGAGGAGTGGGGCAAGGTCACCAGGGTGGGAGGCCAGCTCTGTCCTGCAGGAGCACTGAGGAGGCCACTCCCCCAGCCTCCCACACACTCCTACACTCATCTCCAAAGCCCATTTCTTGATTACTGAGGACTTAGGGGTCTGCCTATCAGTTTCTCAGTTCTGACGGGCATCACCCTTCAAAGCTTGGGCTGAATTTGTATAGGACAGTAGAGAAGAGTGTTGATTTCTGTCCCACCTCTGGGGCTGGGTTGATGCAGCCTGTGGGCCCCTTGGCTCCCTACATCCTCCTGCAGACAGTGTGTGGAGGCAGTGCATGTATTTCTCCAACCAGGATTCAGAAGTACCACACCCCCGCCCCCCCCGACGCCTGCCCAGTCACCCTGCGGTTCTCAGGGGATCCAGATGCTAACAGGCTGATTGTTAAAACAGAGCCATGGTTGAGGGTGCCACAGCTGGAGTGTGGAATGATGCTTGTGCCTAACCATCAGACTGAAAGGAAGGGCAGTGGGGCCAACCCTGGACCCTTGGCAGATAAGTGCTAGGAATAGCAGACAGGGAAGAGAGGTCAGGGTAGAAAAGCCAATGAGAAACAAAGTGAAAGCCTTCCTGCTCCTTTCTAGAACCTCCTCCCCAAAGAGTCTATATTCAGGGCTCAGTACACTAAGGAAGGAACTTCCTAATTCTAGATGTTCCATATCCTGGCCTCCCAGATGTAGAGAGAATAAATGTTAGATGACTCCTTTTTTTTTTGGCAGGGAGAGGGGTGTGTGGCTGCAGGGACAGGATCTTGCTGTGTTGCCCAGGCTGGTCTTAAAACTCCTGGCCTCAAGTGATCCTCCCACCTCAGCCTCCCAAGTAGCTGGAACTACAGGTGCACATCACCTTGCCTGGCTTAGATGACTCTATCTGAGCCAAATGTGGACACTGTGGATGGCAGTTGAACCCAACAAGGACTTCGAAAATGGGAGGGTGCTCTGCAAACCCTAGTTTACAGGATTTATCATCAAGAATGTATATTCGTATCTAGACTTTCTCTCAAAGACTCTGAGCTTGCCAAAGGGATAGGCCTGGACCCAACTGCCCTTTCCAAGTTGCATGTGCTGGGTGGAATGTGTAAATTGAAAGGATATGGTTGAAAACATTTGGGTTTGAAGGACTGGAATGTTGGCATTGAAGAAATCGGATTTTAGAATTGAGGGATGGAATGCTGGCATTGAAGGGATGGAATGCTGAATTTGAGGGAAAGAATGTTGGATTGTGAGGGTGAATGTTGGATTGGATTGGGATTAAAGCCCTGGAATGCTGGATTTTAGGGGAGGAATGTTGGACTCAAGGGGTGGAATGTTGGGACAGGAGAGGCAGAATGTTGGGATGGAAGGAGTGAATGTTGGGGTTGAGCAGGGTCCTGTTGGGGCTAAAGGGTGGAATGTTGGGACAAAGCGGGCAGAATGCTGGGAATGAGGGATGGAATGTTTGACTCAAAGGGTGGAATGCCGGGATCAAGAGATTGAATGTCAAAACTGGCTTGGGAATGCTGGAATGTACAATCAATGGTGTTTTTATCTTCTGTTGGCATGTTGTCCTGTAGGGGTTGTCCTATCTTGTGGATGATCCCCTGTTATCTGTACGAACCTCCACCATCAAGGTATAACTTTTTAAAAATTCAATTGATGTTTTTCTCCCTGATAATTCTGAGTCTGTGGATTCTCCCCTTTTTACCCCCCGGCCTGGTTCTGTGCATGTGCTGCTGATTCTTCTGGGGCTCCTCCTACCTCTGCTGTCACACCCAGCACCAGCTCAGGCTTCCGGTTTCTTGTGCTGAACCACCCAACTGTCTTTCTAGTTCCCTCTTTGGACCTCCCCAGGGACATGGAAGGGGTGGTGGAACATGGCACCAGTGCTGGTATCCTGTGAGTCCCCATGTGCCACATCTGTCTGTGCCACATCCCAGCTCCGTGGGGACTCCTGGTATTTGCCGCCAGGCTGGTCTTTCCCTGAACTCTGTTCTCATGCCATGTCTCTTCAGACTTTCTCCTCACTCTGGCAGCCTTAGCCAGACCATTAATGCCATAGATTTGTAGTCACCTTGGCCAAACAGCCATTTTTTAGTTATCCTGGGTTCAGCTATACCCCATCCCAATGGCCTGCAGTCAGGAGATAGTTTAGCAATCCCTTCCCGTGCTTACACTTGACCTAGGGAATCCTGTGCCTCCAGGTATATTAAGGACTCATATCCCATAATCAGGTGGGGAAAATAATAATTAAAAGAAACCCTATCCCTGACAGTTTGCCCCACTGGCCTTCAGGATCAATGCTCTCCCAATTCTGTGAATGACCCCCATGTTTAAAAGCTTTTGTCACACCCTTACCTATTAAATCCAGGAAAGACAACCTAGCATACCCACTACCCACAGTCAATGACTCCTTATCTGCCACCTCTGGCAGATGTTGTACGAAGCCTGGAAAGTAAAGTCTTTGCTTCTAGCTGTGATGATGCCACTGAATCCCTCTGTGTCCTCTATGTCCCTTCAGAGCTCAAAGCTGTAGATGGAGTATATGTCACATCATGATTTCACAGCTGCAGTCCCTACCCTTTGAGCTGATGGCCAGGGCTGCCAATATGCTTCTCTTTCTGTCCTCATTGGATGCCCATGGGACATCACCCCTCCTGAATGCTTACCTGTGATCTGGGCAGCTGGGAGCCCTTCCTTCAAGGTCCAGAACAGAGACAGGCAGGCATACAGCGTATAGGGGCTTACCTCTCTCGTCCCTACCTCTTTTTCCTACTACTTCTCCTTCTACCTCTCACAGAACCACGAGTTTATTGATGAGCAGATGTTTGAGCAGAACTGCATGGAGAGTTCAATGCAGAACTACCCATCCACAAGAAGTCCCTCACTGTCCAGCCACCCAGGCCTCACTACCACCTGCTGCTCCCGTCGTAGTAAGAAGACCACACACCTGCCCAATTCTAACCTGCCAGCTACTCGCCTGCGCAGCATGCAAGAGCTCAGCACGATCCATATCCAGGGCAGTGAGCAGCCCTCCCTCACAACCAGGTGGGTGGCTTCCATCATCCCCAAAGGCTCGAATCATCTCATTCCCACCAGAATTAGACAATCGCAGCATTAGGAGAACCTTGAGGATCCTCTAGCCACTCCCCTTATCTAATGCATGAGCCCCTCTACCTTCCTCCTTTCCTTGCAAGGAAACCCAAAGGTCCTTCATATGCTGTTGGAGTAGGTACTACAGTAGTTTAGGCTGAAAATGGGGTTAGGTAACAGGGGGGAAAAAAAACTTTAAAAAGAATTATATATATACCTATAAAATAACGTGTCTCTAGATACACAAAAATGATCTGATCTGGTACAAGGAATGGACCAACCATTTTCTCAAGAAACAGTTTTCGTATTTCTGTTACTCATGGCTTATCCTAGGCTGATTTTGAATCCCAGAGACTGACTTTTCCCTCCCTCTCTGCTTATATTTAGGCCACTTCCCACTACCTCCAAATGGGTTGCAGAGAATTCAGGGAAGGCAAATGCCAAATGCCACAAATGATAGGTAAACAATCACTGGTGGGAATGATGTACACTCTGCAATTCAAAGCCTACTATACACAACTTGGTAATTGCTAGTAGTTTAGAAATAATAATTAGAATGGATTATTACAAACTGATTACAAAAGGCAGAGATAGAGGAACAACAAAATATCATCCTGGTTACCATGAACAAGGAATGTAGGGGGTCAAGGAAGCTTTGGGACGCTGGCCAGCAGGAACCATCATCAACTCACTCTTTTCTATCCCAGTCGCTCCAGCCTTAATTTGAAAGCAGACGACGGACTGAGACCAAACTGCAAAACATCCCAGATCACCACAGCCATCATCAGCATCCCCACTCCCCCAGCGCTAACCCCAGAGGGGGAAAGTCGGCCACCCCCTGCCAGCCCAGGCCCCAACACGAACATTCCTTCCATAGCCAGCAATGTTGTCAAGGTCTCCGCCTTGTAAAACCACTGGACAGAGGGCCAGAGGGGGTAGTGGGGAATGAAGGGGACTGGCATGTTGGTGGGTGGCCACTGGGACCACTCCCTCCCCCCTCTCCCCACTATTTCTGCCTGCCCCATTGTACCCCTAGCACTGAGACTTGTGCCTGGAAGGAAAAAGAGGCAGCAAAGGGGCACCTGAGGTTCACGCTGCTAGCGTGGACATAGCCCTGTGATACTGCATCTCACTGGGGCCAGAGGAAGGGAGGGAGGGTGGGGGGGGGGTCGGGGATGGGCCAGTGGGGGATGTAGGCTATGTGCCAGGACAGGGCCTGGATGGAGGAGCCTCAGACTCAGACCAAATAACAATTGTTTCTGGAGACCCCAGTGAGGAAAATACAAGATCAAGAGCAGCAAAGAGGCCAAGTTGTCACAAGCAAAACAGGAAGAAAATATAACACTGTGTATTTAAGCACCTTTTTCAAGGCTCTTAATGGATAATATTTATTCATGGGAAAAGGTGGAAAACAAAAACACCAACGGATTTTTGTGAAATGTTTTTCTCCATGGACCCAACACCTTTGAACCAAAACAATGCATTTTGTGAGGGATTTTTTTTTTTCTCCTTTTATAGCAAAAGCTTTTAGGCTAAGAAGTCAGTTATTGCTGAGTTCTCTCTCCATTCCCCCAGGTGGGTGAGGTCAACTGAGCCTGGGCCCCCACTGCCCAGCTGACCTGCGCAGAGCTGCCAAGTGACCACACGGCAATCCTTACCCTTTGTCTGTCCCTGTCTCCCTTGTCTCTGTACCTCTCTGCTTACCCCTGGCTGTTTCTGTGTCCAGCCATCTGTCTCTACCTGGATCCCAATGATCCTGAAACACATCAGTAAAGCCTTCTTCATCACTGCCATGCACAACAGACTTGTGCCTGGGAGTTCTATCTGTGTGAATGCAACTGCAGAGGAGGAAAGAGTGAAGCAAAAATTGGGAGAGTGTAGGGGTAAGGGAAGTCTACCTCACAGAACAAAGGTGCTTCCCTTGGGGTTGGAACCACTAGTGTTTGCAGTTTTGGTTTCTGGGAAAGAAAGGGAATGAACAGATTTATCACGCTGGAATCTTGAAAAGGCAAATCGCCAACATCTGAGAAGCGGTCAACTCTGGTATGTGCCAGTGAGGGGAGAACGGAAGGACCCAGGGCTTGCAGCCGCAGCCAGTCATTATGGCACCTTGATATGGAGTCTTCCTTCAGGACCCACCATAAAGCCCATCCGGAGCCCTTCCAAGAGGTCCCAGGAGTAGTTTCCTCCAGAGAGGGCAGTGGTACGGGGACCAAGATTCCTCTGACTTATATCACACCTGAGACAACTCCCACACAGAGGCTGTGGAAGGGTAAGCCTGTGTGCCTCAAGAAAAATGCTTCAAAGCAAAAGCAAGTAAGAGATTCTAGATGATTCTTACCTGCTATGAAAGATGCCTTGATGTCTGAAGAGGCTTCAGCCTGATCTCCCTGAAGATAGCTGAAATGGGGGAGAAGCCTGATCACCTCTGTGCGAGCAAAGGAGTGAAGATTATTTCTTGAACACCTGGACAACGTATCTGTTCAACTAGCTTGCACCCTGGTGGAGCTGGGGGCAGCATTTCTGGAGTCCTCCTAACGGTTATTCACTGCTTATAGCAGAGTAGGTGGGCCTCAGAGTTAGTGACAAGTCCTTTCCTGCCCTTCCCAACACCCAGCCACCTTGCTGCAGTCTCTGCAGCCTGGGCTCTGAAATACATGAGCTCCTCAGGAGCTGCCTATCCATCCTACAGCTTAGTGGTTAGCTGTTAAATTGTAGGCCAAGAATTTCTCTGCCCACCACAGCCATCTAAATGAGTTTCACTAGCCAGGAACCTAAAAACACCCTTAGTGGGCTTCCCTATGACCCCAGCTTGATTGACCCTGTAGGCTCAAAAGGTTTCGAGGTGGCACCTAACCAGAATGTGGGCAGAAGGCAGAGGAGAGGGAGCCTTCTTTCTATCTTTATATCCTTATACTTATCCTCATTGACCACGGGCTGAGTTCTTTCTCTGGGTCTAGCCTCAAGGATTTCCCCTAATATGGGAATCGAGTGGTTCTTGCCCCCTGAGCTTACAGACTAAGAAGACAGAAAAGCTTTACAACTACAGAGTACATGTGTATACACACAACCAACCTAAACACATCGGAAAATACATACTTAAATCAATTCCCTTCATATACACATCTCATTAGAAGACCAGGCTAACCTCCACTTAGAGGGCAGGCAAAGGACTAGAAAAGAATTTTTCTTTTAAAAAAAATGAGTAATAGAACAAAATTACAAGTGTCTAAGTATCTTTGTCATACTTCATAAGATCTGACTGGGGTAAGAGATAAAGAGGTAAATAGGGCCTGGTATGGTGGCTTACACCTGTAATCCCAGCACTTTGGGAGGCCGAGGTGAACAATCACCTGAAGTCAGGAGTTTGAGACCAGCCGGGCCAACATGGTGAAGCCCCAGCTCTACTAAAAATACAAAAATTAGCCAGGCATGGTGGTGGGCCCCTGTAATCACAGCTACTAGGAAGGCTGAGGGGGAGGATTGCTTAAACCTGGGAGGCGGAGGATGCAGTGAGCCGAGATCGTGCCACTGCACTCCAGCCCAGGTGACAGAGCAAGACACAGTCTCAAAAAAAGAAAAAAAAAAGAAAGAAAAAAGAAAAGAAAAAAAAAGGAGGTAAATTGGAACATGGTTGCATACACATATAAACTTCCTGTGATGAATTTAAGAAAAGGTCATTACAGGGTTAGAATAGTGACAGATTCAATAAAGGATCTGTTTGATAGGGCACCAAGGGAACATTTTACTGGTTCCCACAAAAATTAATGTTAAATACCATGTCCCAAGCAATTTACCATGTTTTTATAATTGGTCCCAATCAACAGAATGTTTTGTGTTCCTTCCACTTCACGTTCAGATCCCACATCATGCCACTTCCTAAAAGACCATTAGACCATCCCCTTTTTCTCCATCCTCCACTGTAGCCTTAGCCAGAGATAAAAGATTCAGTTCACTTCTGGTCCAAAAAATGTCAACCTTTGGAAAATGGCTCATCTACACTACAGAACACAACCAGATGACACTGCTAAAGGGTATGGTAAGAAAACACAAGGTCCAAAGTATGCTGAATCGGTTTCGTAAGTCTAAGTCATTGGCCAGTGACTGAAAAACCAGGATATCAGGGTTTTCTGGGGGCCAATAGCTTTCTGGTGCAATGACCCTTGAGCTTTCATAGTTCATGAACCACCTTGACATAATAAGATTCCCAAAACCACCTATTCCATTCAATCCCACTCAGCATTAAGAGGGGGAGGGCAAAACAAACAAACAGTTACATTCAAATGTCAAATGAATGGGAACCTAGAAAATATAGTATTAAGAGCATATCAGAACTAGAAAAGATTTAAGAATATCTAATTTTACAGTATAGAAAACTGAGACCAGAGAAATTAAATGACTTGTTCAAGGTCATGCAGTTATTGAATGACAGAGCTGAGACCAGAACACAAGTCTTTTGGCTATTAGTCTAATGCATTTTCTACCACACCCACTGCCTCTGACAGCAGTGATGCTTTGGAGAAGATCCATCAAATAATCCATACTGTAATTAGAGACATAGTGTTATATAAATGTCAATACTATTTGGACACAGCCCTTGGAAATCACCTGACTGTACCAACACAAACCATACTTTGGAAACCACCATCCTCTAGGTAGAACCATCTATGGACTATCAATTTTGTCAGAAATCAATGAACAAGTGAAGAGTCAATATTTTTTAGTCAAATATTTTCTCTTCTCAATGAAGACAAGACTAGAACAATGACATTTTGAAGCATACCTTTTATACTCCTTGTGGTCCTTATGACAGTCTGTGATGGTAGTAGGTAAAGTAGCTAAATCCTTGATTCAGAGAGGGGAAAATGTGGAAAGAAACTGAATGACTTATCCGAGTTCACATGTCAAGTTAGTGGCAGAACCATTATTGCAATCCAGGACTTAAGATATCTTGTCCTAGGATTTTTCCTCCACATTTTATTGCACTGCTCTGAGGCTTGCTTATATTTTTAATACCTGGATTTCCAGGGTGGTGACTTGGGGGAGGGAAGTATTCAATTTAGAACCACCACAAACCAAGATCTCTGGAAACAAACTCTGTACTATTTCTCCTTCATCTCCTATTTTCATAACTAGTGCCAAGCTCAGGACTAACTGCATAGACTCCCTTTCAAAAGACCAATAGATATTCTCAGTGACAGTTGAACACATTAGTTTACAATCACACAGAATTTGAACAGAACTTAAAGTGGACAGTTAATGCCAATCTATGATTAACAAAAACGTCAACTTGTGGATATGCTGATGATTTTATCCAGTTTTCAAACTACGATTCCTACAGTTCAGGATATCACTTATTAGATTGTAGACGAGGAAAGTGTACATTGAGACATTATGTACTTAAAAGTTTTTCCTTAAGTTTTGCAGAGGAAGTGGTTGAAAATTGAGCTAACACTAGATTTTGAGGTTACTAATGAATTCCAGTTTTCCAGTCTCCCGCACTTCAATTACCAGGTAACTATAAGGCAAAAATATCCCAATGCTGTGAACTTAAGGCAATATTCATTTCCTTTCTACACTACTTGGCATGGTAACCATGACAAACTTTTATTTTCTCTTTCTGATTTCCTAATGAAATCCACTATTTGCAAAGCTTTAAAATGACTAGATGAAGGAAAAACATTGTTATGACCCATGACCCTTGGAGCCCAAACAGCACCATGAAGAGCATTATTAAAACTAAGAGAAAGTGGCTATCAGAAAATGAAACAGCTTTAAAGGGGCTCCTTTTAAGTCTTGTTTTCTATTCAGAATGTTCTATGTTTTTTCTCAAGTGTGGGAATGACATTTATCTTAGCAGGTTACTCAGCTACACTGGATGATGTCACTCTAACCAGTGTAGGGCACTGACCCACGTCCTGGGGGCTCCTTGGACCAATGGACTATTTTACAAACCTGGGAGGTGGGAGGGATGGTATATTTTTGATAATCAGACATTCCAATGTAATGTTTTACTTAGAGGTCACACCCTTCCCCCCATTAATGTCATCGTGAGATACATCAAGTGTGTTCTTTTCTATTTTCATATAATAAATGGGCTTTGCTTATCAACATCACAATGGCAAAGAAGAAATATACTGTACAAAACTGCAGGAAGATAAAACATG